CCATACCTCATACCTCTCTTAGCCAAAAACACATCCTACTTTCCTTGCATACAGAGATGTTTCCATTATTATTTCTGGTAGGTTTAATTACATGTATTAATTAGAATTTTTAACCCTTAATTTCTAGTGAAAATAAGCAATTATGAACTGTCTATTACACCATCATTCTTTAGATTGGCAAATTTATGAATACATTTCATAATTTCTAGGAACATGCATTTCCTTATAGCATGATTTTTCATTGCGGCACAAGACATATTTACTAACAGACCCAAACATCTTTAGTTTCTTTGTAACAAGAGGGCAAAAGTAGATAGACTTGTTTAGCAATTAATGTTTCAGTATTTTATCTTATTAGGAAATGATCTAGACAGTCAGTGGATTCTCATCATTTCGTTTAATTTAGCAAAATTCTAAGGGTGGAAGTTACCAAAGATTTGGGAAGCTATTTTAAGTAGACATACCATAACACACAATTATTACTGAAAAGGTCACCTAAGAACTCTTAAATCCCACTTACTTCTTTCAAAATCACTTGCTATTAACAAATATGTTTAGAGTACCCATGAAAACTTCATTAGACAGTAGAAAAAGTCAGCCATCATCCCAAGCTACTTTTCTTGCTGACACATTTTGTGGTAGTGATAACATGAATTTATTGACTAGTAAACCCAGGTAGTTGTTTATCTGCATTATATTTAATGATAACTCTGAAGACATACCTACTTTAATTAACCCAAAGTTAAACTAGCTTTTATTTACCAAAGATTATTCCGGATTACGTGAACTTGAAAAACATTTGGGTTACTTTCTATATTTCTGAGTTTTAGAAATACTTAATTCATAAGTGCCTATTTTTAAGCCAATTAAATAAAGCTCTTTTACAAATTAATTTTGGCAATACCATCTGGAGGTAGAGAGAAAAAAAATCACAAATACATAACATACATCCATAAACATGAAGATAGGCACAGAGATCCTCTAGCTTTTTTAAAAATATTGTTTTATTTTTTATTGATGTCATAGTGGTTTATAACATTGTGAAATGTCAGTTGTACATTATTATTTGTTAGTCACCATATAAATGTGCCCCTTCACCCCTTGTGCCCCACCCCCCACTGCATTCCCCCGATAACCACCAAACTGTTCTCTCTGTCCATGTGTTAGTTTATCTTCCACATATGAGGGAAATCATACGGTGTTTGTCTTTCTCTGTCTGGCTTATTTCGCTTAACATAATACCCTCCAGGTGCATCCGTGTTGTTGCAAATGGGACGATTTTGTCTTTTTTTATGGTTGAGTAATATTCCATTGTATATATATACACCACATCTTCTTTATCCAATCATCTGTTGATGGATGCTTGGGTTGCTTCCACTTCTTGGCTATAGTGAATAATGCTGCAATGAACATAGCGGTGCATAAGCTTCTTTGGATTGTTGATTTCAAGTTCTTTGGGTAAACACCCAGTAGTGGGGTAGCTGGATCATAAAGTATTTCTATTTTTAATTTTGGAGGAATCTCCATACTGTTTTCCATAGAGGCTGCACCAGTTTGCATTCCCACCAGCAGTGAATGAGGGTTCCCTTTTCTTCACAACCTCTCCAGCATTTGTTATTTTTTGTCTTGGTGGTTATAGCTGGTCTCACGGGTGTAAGGTGATATCTTAGTGTAGTTTTGATTTGCATTTCCCTAATGATTAGTGATGTTGAACATCTTTTCCTGTGCCTGTTGGCCATCTGTATATCTTCCTTGGAAAAACGTCTGTTCATATCCTCTGCACATTTTTTGATCAGGTTGTTTGTTTTTTTGTTGTTCAGTTGTGTGAGTTCTTTATATATTATGGAGATTAACCCCTTGTTGGATATATGATTTGCAAATATTTTCTCCTAATTGGTGGGTTGGACCCTCTAGCTTTTGTTCCAGAATCTTAGCCACGAATCAGGTACAACAATATAAAACTCACTAGTTTATAAACAACAGTTGAATTCAAATTGGCAGACAGAACAAGTTAAGGTTATTCGCTTCTATGGCTAAAGCTTTTTACTAATATTTGTGGAGAAAACTTTTAAGATTTGTATTTGTCCTTGACAAATAATGTTAAGGAGGCTGTGGACTAGATTTCCGGTAAGAGAGCTTTTATAGCATTTTGTATGTTAAAAGGCTTCTTCCCCCCCCCCCCTTTTTTCCTTCAGTCTCAGGTGATTGTGAGCGGAGTTTTAGTTACCTCCTGGGGTGTTTACATTTCAAACACTTGGTAAGATTTACATCTTCAAGGGGCAGAGAAAGAATGTAAATTTTCCCCTAGAAGTTTTAGTATCTTTTGGATGGTTTCGGCAGTCTCAATAAAATGTCGTAGTGCTGCCCTGTAATTAGGGGCAGCGCCCTGTGAAAATAATTCTCTGGACTCCAGGTCAAATGAGGCCTCTTCAGGGTCAGAAATGAAGAGGAGGTCATTGGGTTACTGTTGTCATGGAAATGATAAACCCATTGTTCCATGCCAATTTTGTGCAGCAGGAGATGGTTTTCATCTTAATGTTTTCCATTGACTGTGAGCCTTAGCAGTGATCAGTGTGATGGAAGGATGGGCACGGCACCAGGCAATAAATATCCAAGTGAGGAGAGAAAGGGCCCTGGAGTGAACATCAGTGGCTCTAGGGGCCTTTGCCTTTCCCTCTTCCTCCTCACTAGAGGCCTCAATAACCCTGTCAGCTTTTCCCTTGGTGGCAGGGACGCCTTGTGAGGTGTGCCTCTAGTCCCTTTCAGGGGAAAGCTAAGGGGATATCTGTGGTATCTCAGAGGATCCGTGGTATCTTGGAGGAAATGAGCATAGAGCTCGGATGAATCTTACGAAAGTCATGGGTTTTAGAGATACTGGCCAGTTAATGCATTTTAGCAGCCGTGAGTAACAATTCAGAGCCCGTTCCAGGCAAATTAGAAAACTCACAATAGCCAATTAGTTCCCCTCTCTCCTTCCTGTTGCGTAAAATCTTTAAGAAAGGTTTGAATTTCATTTAAGGTATAGTTTTTGATTTCAGTTTCTACTTGTTGTTTTTATCCTATTACCTTAATCTTAGGTGTTGTTACCAGAAAATTTTGGATGACATCACTGTGAGCCCTCTTCGTAGGTGGCTGCTTTCCTTTCCAGGGTATCCCAAGAGACCTCTCTGGGATTGGGGTCTGCCTCTACTAGCCCAATATGTAGCTTCCATGGGGTTTTGCATTTATCAGGGAGCTGGTGTACCTCCTCAGGGTTCTTAGGAGGTGCTGGCACCAGATGTTCAGGACGTTTATATTTGTCCATTGACTTTTTAGCAACATCATGCCAGAGATTGGACACATAACATCTCATCAGGTCAGGGGACGAACAGTGTGACTGTAGTGAGTGAAGTGGTGACGCAGAGACTGTGGGCCTCTGTTTTATTTTACCTCTCGCTCTCGCGGTGCCATTGGGTTCTGGTTGCAAGGCTGTTTTGCTATTCTGGGTTGAATTATTATGGCAGCCATGACTTTTTGGGTTGGATACTGCAGGCAACACAGAACAGAGGCAATATGTGAAAGCACAGAGCAGCGTGTCAGACCCCCAGCAAGTGGTGCTCCTTTCCCAGATGGTGTTAGCCACCTGGGTTAGGTAGTTAGTAAGCAAGTTGCAGGTAAAGAGCACTCCCTTCAGTTGATTGCAAGGGCAATCGTGCAGTCACTCTGACTATGCCAATTTTTATATGTCCGTCTCAACCTCTCCATAACCGGTGTTGTGGCTAGACCAGGCCTTGTGGTTCTTATTATGATTGCAAGACGCCCTTCAGCAGTAACCATCAGGAAACTTTGAAAAAAATGAAAGTTTATTACTTACAGAACCTGGAAATTACACAGCACACCTGGGGCCACGTAGTGAGGTCATGGGTAGAGAGAGAGCACGTGGGCCAGGGGTTCTGCTTTTATTGGGGTTGAGGGTGGAGGCCTAGGGTTTTGTGGGTTCACTCTTTATTGGTGAATTTAAAACATAAGAGTGGGAATTTAAAGCACAGGAAGAGAAAAAACAAGTGGCCCAAATGGTCAGTTATTGAAATCAACCAAAATCTCTCAAAAAAGGAGGCTTGGAGGTGGGAGGTGGCCTGGCTCTTTATCTAGTCGTGTGGCTGATAATGTGTTTATTCTAGATAGTTGCCTTTGAAGTGGATGCCTCTTTGTAGAGGATGTCTCAGCAATCAAATCTTAAGTCAGGCACTTGCATTACAAAAAGAAAAAAAAACAACTGTCAGGGTTTACACTACACATTCAAAGGACAGACATAAGAATAAAGTTGTGAGCCAGCCCTGATGGCCTAGTGGTTAAAGTTTGACGATCACCACTTCGGCAGCCCGCGTTCACTTCCTGGTTGTGGAACCACACCACCTGCCTGTCAGTTGCCATGCTGTGGCAGCGGCTCACATAGAACTAGAACAACTTAGAACTAGCACATATAACCATGCACTGGGGCTTTGGGGAGAAAAAAAAAAAAGAGGAAGATTGGCAGGAGATGTTAGTTCAGGGCGAATCTTTCCCTGCAAAAAAAAAAAAGCCTCTGGTCTCTTTAAGCAAAAAAGTAAAGTTAGGTGTAAAAAGATTATTTTTGTGAAAAATTAAATGGAATGTGCAACATAATTTTTCTGGACTTGGGAATTCATTCTTTTAAGCCTTGTTGAGTATAAAACAAATTGAGAGTAATGTGTTCAATTACATATCTGATATTAAATCTGATATAACCTTCTAATTGATCAAACTGTTGAAAATGTAGGGAGTTTTAAAAAAACACACTCTCTAGGTAGTCAGTATTTCAGCTAAGATCTGCCTTTTTGTGAATAGTTATTGAAATGTCAGAACATTATCTAGAACTGTTTATTATAAATAAAAGTCTAAGAATAATTATTTGTAGAAAGGGCCTTTAGCTTGCTAGTTAAATAAATCTGATAGGTGAGTGAAGTACTGCTAACATGTTTTATTGTTATCTGTTGGGGTAGCCATTTAAAGATCGCTGTGAATGGTTCTATGAACATTTGCATTCAGGACAACCAGACTCAGACATGGTGCACAGGCCAGTGAATGAAAATGATATCCTGCTGGTTCACAGAGGTATGTTTAACAGAGAAACTGATGTGTATGTGAGGCACAAAATACTAGTTATTGTAAATTTTAATATATAAAATTAACCAATGCTACATATTTAGATTCTATTTTTAGGAGTAGCTGTGAAGTTGTGTCAAAAGCCAATTGTGCGAAGCTAAAGCAAGGAATTGCTGTACGGTTCCATGGAGAAGAAGGCATGGTGGGTATAAAAATAAGTGCTGTTAAGATAACTGTATATAAAAGATTGAAATGCACTTGAATAAAGTTTAATATTTAATTGATAATGGAAGAAATTTAATATGATTTTAATTTTATCATTATTTAGAAAAAAACTTCTCTATACATTTCTTTTGATACTTAATTTTATTTTCTTGAACTCAGGGTCAAGGTGTTGTGCGTGAGTGGTTTGATATTCTGTCTAATGAGATAGTCAATCCTGATTATGCATTGTTTACCCAGTCAGCTGATGGTAAGTTGTACAGTCTAGATGACTTTTTCTGTGACTTGTCACATTTTCAAACTATTTCAGTGCATTTTATCCTTTGATTCCCGTAGTAGCCCTGTGAGCCAGCTGGGGTATTTCCATTTTATGGAAGAAAAAATTGAAATTCAGAGTTTTTGTTTAGTTAAATGTAGTTGATGAGTGATAGGGTCATGAATGGAACCTGACTCAATCTAGCATTCTTTCCTCTAACCAGTTGCTTGTCTCAGGGACTAGTGCTGGCCCCAAGGAAGTTTTCATCAGCACTTTGTAAAATAAAACTAAATTTAATCAATTTAAGGATTGTCCTTTGGTCTACTTTTTTTGAGTTAAAGTTTCCTTTTGTGAACTAGTGCTAATAGATAGATTAAAAAAATTCTAGTCCTTTTTTGGAAAAATTAAAATTTGCTAACCCTATTTGAATTTTCAAGTCTTAAAATTTATTGGTCATATAAAACAAAGTCTGGAAATCATGATGTTAAATCTTAACTTATAATCTATTTATATATAGTAACTTAGTTTTCAGTTCTTTTAAAAAATCAGCAACTGGCAACTAAAAGCTCTTATTTAACCAAATAACACAGACAAAAAACTCTGTTGAAATGGTGCTTGCGACCTGCAGAATTGTGATTTGATATTGTAGGCTAAATAGATGGTCACCTCCTCATTTGTGTAAGGTATACTTGAGAGTTCTCTAACTTAATAACGACTTATATCCAAGTGAAGGTGGGATTTCAGTTTTTAAGTGCTTTGCACAGTTGCTGTTTCTTCCTGAAAATCTTTTCTTTTCCAGTGTTTAGATTCTTTTTATAAGCAGAGAGTGCTCATCAGTTGTAGGTTCTGGTTGCATCCAAACAAACCAGCAGTGGGCCAGCCCCGTGGCTTAGTGGTTAAGTGCGTGCGCTCCGCTGCTGGCGGCCCAGGTTCGCATCCCGGGTGCGCACTGACGCACCGCTTCTCCGGCCATGCTGAGGCCGCGTCCCACATACAGCAACTAGAAGGATGTGCAGCTATGACATACAACTATCTACTGGGGCTTTAGGGAATAAAAAGGAGGAGGGTTGGCAATAGATGTTGGCTCAGAGCCGGTCTTCCTCAGCAAAAAGAGGAGGATTAGCAGGGCTGATCTTCCTCACACACACACAAAAAACAAGAAAAGCCAAACAAACCAGCAGCAAATCTCCATTGAATAAGAAGGATGACTCTAAGGGAGGCATGCGGGGGTGGGCTGCAGTGATGCTAGGGAACTGCAGGTATTCTATGTGATGAACTGCTCTGGCGTATTTGAACTTATTTAGGAATATGGGACTGCCTGCTTTAACTCTGTAACCTTTGATTATTTGCTCTGAGGTGAATTTGGTGTCTTTGTGATTTTATGACATGTTTGATGAGGTGCTCAGGTATTTAGGCCTAATCCTTAAAGCAAGATTTAGCATTAGAGCATTATATTTTAGATTTATTTCTTTTCTTTATAGTCCCTTATTCTGAGTCTGTTTAGTTTCACACCTGAAAAACAGATTTGCTGTGAAATCGTTAATCGAGATGCTTCCCTATACTACAAATTTATAGCAGAGCGTGTTGTTGAAGCGCATAGACCATAAACACTGTGATTTGTCCTTTTTATAAAATTAAAATTAAAAACTACTGAGTATGAGAAATGTTTAGCTAGACCTAATGTCTGTAATAATCTCTTTAAAACCTGTTTTCTAATCAAATTAATATTCCTCCCCCCCAATCTATAGTGATATTCAAATTTGAGAAATTGTATATGGTGGCTCAGCTTTTATGTCCTGTTTGGGAGTTACTTTCCCAGAGGTTTTATAATTTTATTTATTTATTTTTCCCCCAGAGCCCCAGTAGATAGTTGTATGTCCTAGTTGCACATCCTTCTAGTTGCAGAAGCGGTGCGTTGGTGCGTGCCCGGGATGCGAACCTGGGCTGCCAGCAGCGGAGCCTGCGCAGTTAACCGCTAAGCCACGGGGCTGGCCCATCAAATTAAGATTCTTACTGTAGAGAAGTGGTGTAGTATAGTGGTTAGGAGTTTGGCCTTTGGTGTTACACTGGGTGTGAATCCTGGCTCTGCTCCTCTTTATGCTATGATCATGGGCCAGTAAATTTAACCTTGTTGGATCTGTGTCCTCATTTGAAAATAGCGATAATCTGTGTTTGGTAATGTAGTGAGAAATCAATTAGCTGATGTGTAAAAATGCTTATTAGCCCAGTGCCTGGCACACGGAAAGCAGAAATAAATATTAGATGCTATTATTTTTATTCTGTGAAATGAGTATTTTCTTGTACAATAGGATTTTTCTGAGGTGACGAAAATAGCTGGGAGTGTTACAGTTACATTTATTTTGAACTTAAGGTATAACATAAACTTTATCTTCTGTTTTAACTAGTTTTCAAGTTAAAAACTACTATTCCTTTTCTGAAGATTTTTTCCCCATTTGTTTCCTTTTTTTTCGTTTGATTTCTCTTCATCTATTCTTTTTAATAACCCAGATTTCCCAGAAAGTACTTAGAGAGGAATTATATACAGACCTAGGGGAGGAAAGTTGAGTCATCAAAAATCTTTGCTGGTTCATCAGTAACCCTAGGCACTCACTATTTTAATAGGTAAAAATATTTGTGATTATTCTCAGAATTTTATATTTTTGCCATTATGGTTATGTTTGTCTTTGTGTGTGTGTGAGAGGAAGATTAGCCCTGAGCTAACAGCTGATGCCAATCCTCCTCTTTTTGCTGAGGGAGATTGGCCCCTGGGCTAACATCTGTGCCCATCTTCCTCTACTTTATATGGGACACAACCACAGCATGGCTTCATAAGCGGTACATCGGTCCACGCCCGGGCTCCAAACCTGTGAATCCCAGGCCGCCGAAGCGGAGCACGTGAACTTAACCGCTGCGCCACCGGGCTGGCCCCTGTGTTTGTCTTTGAAGTCTTTCTTCATCTCACAGAACTTTGCTTTGACTTTTAATACCCAGTCTTACATCATGACTGGGAGTGATGCTCAAAGGATACTGAACAGTGAATGGCTAGCTTCATGTGGCCCTTTTGAGTCATTCAGCCATAAGCTTCCAGATTTGTTTGTTTTATCTAAGTCAGTTGGTCACAGCAGTTTAGTCCAGTGCCAACACTGGTAAAGACCAATGAAGCATGAAGTGAATTATTGTCAAAATATGTGTACTAAATGACCAAACATTTGACTTTCCAATACTTGTCCACTTTTCCTTTATTTTTCTTTGATGCTATTTCATTAGTTTTATCAGTTATTCTTTCTTTTACCCCAGGTGCCTAGAAGAGTAGTAATAGCATGCACTCCGTAAATATTTGTTGAATGAGTGAGAGAATTTGTAATTCGAGTTAGTGATGATCACAGAAAAATAGGGAAAGAGAGTTATTTAAAGTTGAGATCTTGGTATTAGGTTTTTCCATTTTTTTTTTTTACTGTGGTAAAACATACATAACAAGAGATTTACCGTTTTAGCCATTTTAAAGTGTACAGTTCAGTGGCATTAAGTACATTCACATTGTATTGTAACCATCACCACTATCTATTTCCAGACGTTTTTCATGTATGTGGAATTATTCCATTGCACTAGATTTTGACAGTAATCGATAACTATTGCCCTTGCCATTTTTACTTTTACCTCAGTGGTACTTATTTAAACTTAATTATTTGTCATGAGGAAGAATTGCTTGACTTGTAGACTTAGGTAATTTTCTGATAATTGTTGAAAGGCATCAAGTTCATTGACTAGGTCTGTCACTTTAGAACAGTTGTAGATTTAAAATTTTTAGTTATTCTCTTTAGTGCTCTGTTTCTTCAGGAGCAGAAAGTAGTGAATACGTGCTGCACTGTATAGATGAGTGAGACAATGTCTGCCCTAATTCAAGGCCTAGTAGTTATTTCCAGTCTGCCTAGGAAAACGTGTGTGTGTGTGTGTATTGTCTTAATAAATTATTTCCAGCATCTCTGTGACACATCTTCTAATTACTTTCAGTTAAAAGTATTCTAAAATTTTCTCTCTGCACAGAGACTTAACTCTGATAAGTATGTGTGAATTATTGATTATCTTTTGTACTTCCATTTCCACTGCCTGTTACATATTCCACAGAGGACATTTCTGTTGAAGTTTATTCATAGTGTAAACTTAACCTTGCTGGAGTCGTATGTGAGTTAATTTGTCTGCCTTGAAATGACCTCTTTTCTGCATTTATAGTCTTAAAAATAAATTATTTTGTATTTATTTTAATAGGAACAACTTTTCAGCCTAATAGCAACTCCTATGTAAATCCTGATCACTTGAACTACTTCCGGTTTGCTGGACAGATCTTGGGATTAGCTTTGAACCATAGGCAGCTGGTCAACATTTACTTCACGAGATCCTTCTACAAGCACATTCTTGGTATGGCTCTATTGTCATTTCCATAGGCATTTATTTGAAGATTTGAAGTATTTTTCTTATAGTCTTTAGGGAAAACCAAGTAGGTAAGTGGTGGCATTTTGGATGAGGTAATTTTTATTTTGTTTGGAGACTATCTGTGTAGGTAAGGCATTTGGGGGCCTGAGGGAGAGAAAAAATAGCCTACTTTTTGCTAAAATTTTTTTTCATTTTAGTGTGTGTAAATTTATGCTAAGAATGCATTTTAATATGAATATGCTTAAGAGAATTGGCACTTTTTGAAGTTTATAATAATTTCCTGAATAGCTATTTCAAAGAAAGATTACATTGTAAAAATTTGGAAGAAAGCGTACCTTAACAGACTTCCAAATTCAGGAATTAGCATCCATTTAAATCATGCTGTGAATTGGATTAATTTGCAGTTTTACCAAAGTATCTGTAGAGGGCAGTATTTTACCATTAAACAGATAAGGAAAGGCAGAAACATTTAGAATATAACTGCTGTATGTTTGCATTTTTAGGTATTCCTGTAAATTACCAAGATGTGGCATCCATTGATCCAGAATATGCCAAAAATTTGCAGTGGATTTTAGATAATGATATTAGTGATCTGGGTCTAGAACTAACTTTTTCTGTTGAGACTGATGTGTTTGGAGCAATGGAAGAGGTGCCTTTGAAACCTGGGGGTGGAAGTATTCTTGTGACACAAAATAACAAAGTGAGTATTCAGTTTTTAAGTTAGCCATTGTTTGTAACTTAGCCCTGATAGTTTGCTAATTACTCTAAAATCTCCTGGCACTATCTAGGAAAACTTGTACTGTTAGAGTTATGTAACATTTTATAACAAATAAAATATTTAAATTAACTAAACCGTCAAATATCAAACATTGAATTAGAATGGATCATTTCAATATTGTGTTAGATATGCTGAGACTGGTCCTGACACAGCCTAGAGAACAATTCAGTTGATTGTATAAATTAGGCATCTGCATGTTGAAAAATTCAATTAGAAATATAAGTTTACATCATGATCATATTCGTACTCTTTCATGTTTTATAATAATCACCATGTAAATTATGTATATAAATAATCACTATTTCATGTTTTAGCCAGCCCTGGTGGTCTAGTGGATAAGATTCAGTGCTCTTACCACTGCGGCCTGGGTTTGTTTCCCGGTCAGGGAACCACACTACCTGTCTGTTGGTTGTCATACTGTGGTGGCTGCATGTTACTATGATGCTGAAGGCTATGCCACCAGTATTCAAATACCAGCAAGGTCACCCACGGTGGACAGATTTCAGTGGAACTTCCAGACTAAGACAGGCTAGGAAGAAGGACCTGGCCACCCACTTCTGAAAAAAATTGCCCGTGAAAACTCAATGAATAGAAGCAGAGTATTGTCTGATACAGCGCCAGAAGGTGAGAGGATGGCACAGAAAGACCAGACAGGATTCCACTCTGCTGTACACACGGTCGCTAGGAGTCAGAATCGACTTGATGACACTAAGAAACAAAATTTCATGTTTTAAAAGTACAATATTAAGAGTTCCAATAGAGAAAAGAAGAAATCACAGTGTTTAAACTTTGTACATGCTTTTGGGATCCAATAAATCTGTTAGACTTCTGAACATGATTTTTTTAACTTTGTAACTTGATTATTTTTATTATTATATTTCCTATTTGTACATATTTTTTTCCCCAGTTTTATTGAGAAATAATTGACATACATCTGTACATATTATTTTTAAATCTGGGCATATGTTTTAAATTTCACTGTTGAAAATCACGGTAAAAAAAAAAAAAAGAAAATCATGGTACTTTAATATATAATAACGTTTTATTTTACATTTTGATATATTATGTAGGAAATTGGGAGTCAGAAAATCTGGTGTTGAAATTCTAGTTCTGTCATTTACCAGTAGCAACTTCTGGTTAAACAAGACTAAAACCTTTTTCCTTTCCTTTAGTTAGATTATAATTCCGAGACAGCTTCAGAATCAACTAACTATAAAAAATAATGTCAATTGAAGCATTTTGTAGACTAGAGATTTAGTAAAATGTAGATTTTTTTTAAAAAGGCTGAAAGACTTGGCCACATTTTAACTTCTTTGAGCCTCAGTTTTCTGTTCTGTAAAATTGGGATAATACCTCCCATTTGGAATTGTTACTAGCATTTTGTAAATGAAAAACAATACAAAAGTTAATTATTAGATAGTTTTCTATAAAAATAGGCTCTTAGTTTTAGATATATACAGGGAATTGGAGACCAAATTAAGCTACATAATTTTACTTTTTGAAACTCAGATCCTATAAATATTAAAAAACATGAAGTTTAATTTTTGGAAATAAACTCAGGAGCTGAGGTTTTGTACGTTTATACTTAGAAATTTTTTAGTCTATGCTCTCATTTTACACATGAGGACACTGAAGCCTAAAGAGTTAATGGTAAAGCTGGGGCCAAAACCCAGATCTCTTAGTTTCAAGTCTAATGTTCTTCATACTGTTGGCAAAATTAATCATGTTGAGGAAGATCTTACTTGATTTTTAATATGAGTCATGTTAAGCTCTAGAAGATTAAAGTAGTAAAATGTTTAAATTAATTTTAAAAATCTGTATGAGCTTGCCAGTGAATGAAAATATTTTAAGAAATCTGCTAATTATTAGATTGTCTACTTGGTAGTGCATTTATTATTTTATTTTACACTAGAGACCTACTCCCAATTATGGGTAATGAAGTCATAGAATCTTTATTATAAGCAAGTGATTGCTTTTCACCAGAGAACCTCAAACATGATTCCTATCTGTGAATACTCTATCGGTGAGTGGATTTGTCACTCCTCTCAGATATACTTTATGTGATGAAGTAGAAAGACCCATTAATTGCATGATAGATAGTTGTATTTATACTTGTATCTCCCAACAGCCTCCCTCCCCCATGACAGGATTTTTCTTAGATTTTTTGAATACACATTTTATTTTTTTGCATTTGTATCTTTTATTGAAATCTAGAAAGAAGGAAGATATTGAATACATAATAACAAATAAGTATATACTCATATCAAGGGTATACCCTTCATTGTGAGTCTAGTCTGAGGCTGGAATACTATCGTAATATTAAAGAGCTTGAAACTTTTGTTTGTTGAGTTTAATACTTTTTTATTTTTTTATTTTTTTTGGTGAAGAAGATTGGCCCTGAGCTAACATCTGCCGGTCCTCCTCTTTTTTGCTGAGGAAGACTGGTCCTGGGCTAACATCCATGCCCATCTTCCTCCACTTTATATGGGATGCCGCCACAGCATGGCTTGCCAAGCAGTGCATTGGTGCGCGCCCGGGATCCAAACTGGCGAACCCCAGGCTGCCGCAGCGGAGCACGTGCACTTAACTGCTTGCGCCACCGGGCCGGCCCCGAGTTTAATACATTTTTATTTAACTATATTAACTAACTGGTTGATTACAATAGGCTAACTTTTTTTAATGATTAGCTTGGGTAATGGAGGTAAAAGCAGGATCTCAATCACCAATATGTTAATTCTTCTCAGCTTTCATTTTTCTGATATAAATATTTCTCACAATAAATTGAGCCTCTTCATTTTCTGTTACCAGTAAGAGTCAAGTATAATTGCATCTCAAATTGTTGATGCTTAAACATTTTCAGTAAGCAACCTGATTAATTTTAAAAAATTAAAAATCTTTAGAAACATACCTGCATTTTAAATTGATCACTTGCTTTTAAATCGTTAAAGTATCCAATTTATAAATAAAATTTTCAAACCATGTTCTTTAGAAATATTATTTTTTAACATACATTTCTTTTGTGAAGTTTTCTGTTAGTTTACCGTCAGCCTTTTACTTACTGTATAGGTATAAAGTTATAATTGTCACCTTTGGAGTTCAGCTTCAAAATTTGTGAGCATATTGAAACTTAAATGACTTGCAAAGCTTGTTAGTAAGAGAAAGTCTATGTAGGCTGGTTCCACTTGGGGGAGTCCTTTGTTCCTAAGTTTTATTGAAAGACTAGTAGTTATAGAATGAAACCAAATAGATGAAAATACCTTTGTTTGAAAAGCAGTACATTGAATAAGTACAAGTAATGTAGGCAGAAGAATATGTATCACTTCCACATTTGAAATATAATACTCTTTTAAATTTAATTTTGTTTCTGGCAATGATTTGTTTTAAAATCTAGAGAAAAAAAAAACCTTGGCTTCAGTTTTGAAAATGGCTGAAATTACCAGGAGCTGAAGATTTACATTTAAATAGTATTTTTATCTTTTAAAAAAAAGTTTTGCTTTCTCTTTTCGTAAAGAAATTTACTTTTTTGTTTGTTTGTTTTTTGTGAGGAAGATCGGCCCTGAGCTAACATCCATGCCAATCCTCCTCTTTTTTGCTGAGAAAGACTGGCCCTGGGCTAACACTCATGCCCATCTTCCTCCACTTTATATGGGACGCTGCCACAGCATGGCTTGCCAAGCAGTGTGTCAGTGAGCGTCCGGGATCCGAACCAGCGAACCCTGGGCCTCTGCAGTGGAGTGCGCGCACTTAACTGCTTGCGCCGCCGGGCCGGCCCCAAGAAATTTACTCTTTTATTTTATTTATTTATTTATTTTTTTGTGAGGAAGGTCAGCCCTGAGCTAACATCCATGCCAATCCTCCTCTTTTTGCTGAGAAAGACTGGCCCTGGGCTAACATCTGTGCCTATCATCCTCCACTTTATATGGGACACCGCCACAGCATGGCCTGACAAGTGGTGCATTGGTGCGCGACCGGGATCTGAACCCAGGCCTCCAGCAGCGGAACGCGCACACTTAACTGCTGCGCCACGGGGCCAGCCCCTCACTTTCACTTTTTAATTCTTGACCAAAAGCTGAAATCCTAGAACCATAAAATATTGAGTTACAAATGACATTTTTTGCTTAGATCTTCAGCTTTTAGAACTGAAGAGTAAGCTAAATGTGTTTTAAATGTTAACACTTAAAATACTAATCATAAAGTTCATTCAGGCTGGGAGGGAGAAAAATGGGTGTGGGATGGGACAGGATATGAGGGAATGGAGGAGGTGGCATGGAAGTTGAACTATAGAAGAGAAGCATTAAGTGGTCAGATAGGAGTAAAGAAGGGGAGAAGGAAATGTTCTGGGCTTACAGGAAGGCACACAGATGACAGAGCATGATGTGTTTGGAGAACCACGTGTAGATCAGAGTCGTAGATCTTAGGTTAGATTGCAAAGTAAGTGAGTAGAAAAAGATGAGGTGAGGGAGGTAGACAGGGGCCAAAATCTGGAAGACTTTGCATCCGCAATTAGGAATTTGAAAATTATTCTGAAGGCTATGGAGATGATTGCACATGTTATTGAGGAGAGTGACGTGATTGGATTTCTGTTTTATTTTTAAAAAAAACAAAAACCAACTTAGCTTGGAATGTGAAGAATGGATTGAAATGGGGCGATACTGGAGTCGGGGCAACCTGATAGATGGTTGTGGCGTTGGTCTTGGGAGCATGTGTGAGGGATTTTATAACACAGTGGCTGTGAGGATAGAGAAAATGAGATAGCTTTTGAGGATGTAGAATTTATAGAACATGGTAATTAATTGTTTGGGAAGGTGGGAAAGAAGGACTCCAGGGTGACTGCCACTTATGTGGATTGGGTCCAGGAATGACTGGTGGTGTTGCCGTCCTCCTCTTCATCAACCTCACTACCATCAGTTCTGGTTTCTAGTGATGACAATAGCTACTGTCTTTGAGTACTTTGTGTATATTTCATGTATTTGAGATGTGTTCTTTGTCTCATTTACTGTAACAGCCTTTTGAGATAGTTATTTCTATTTATTCAATGTGGAAACAGCTTTAATATTAAAAGCATTTGACATTTATTAGGTACTTACAGTGTGCTAGGCACTATTCAAAGTGCTTTATGTGTATTAACTCAGACAATCCTCTGAAGTGTAGCTGTCCCTTTCTACAGGGAAGGAAACTGAAGTGTAGAGGGGGTAAGGAGCTCTCCTCCAAATCATGTGGCTCATAAGTAGTAGAGCTAGGATTTGAACCCAGGCAGTCTATGAATTTCAAGCCCGAGCTTGTAACTGTGACACTATTTCTTTAGAGGTTAAATAACTGCCTAAGTGCTCAAAATTAGTAACTGGTGGACCCTCAGTTTAAATCAAGGTCTGTAGGATTGTGTACCTGCAAGGCTTCGTTGACTAAGGCAATGAATATGAACAAGGTAGCAGATAGAACCTCAGTGTGTTTTCCCCTGCTTCATTTTTATGTGATTAATACCTTAGATTTTATGGCTAGTTTCACTTGATTTATTCCACACACAAAGACATTTGATGCACTCACAAGCACAAAAATACAGGCTTGTGTATATAGATTATTGACTTAACGTGGATTCCTTATTTGCATCACAGCATACTGTGAGAGATCTTTTTATTATTCTGAAAACTTTTAAAACAGTTCAGGTCTAAGGTTCTCCGTATTGAGTGTACATGTGTATTGTTAGATTAGATTTTAAATTATCTTTAATATCTTCCTGTGAACCAGGAGAATATACTTTTCATTGCATTTTAGTTAGTATATTCTACAAATTTGCTTTGAAAATCACCAAATCTATGAAACAGTAACCTGAAGAATCACTATTTTCAATGACCTAATTTGTTCCAAGGAAACTGAAGTAATAGGATTTTTACCAGACTATCAATCTTTGTAACTAATTTGTGACCTTAAAAATAGGAATATACTGGTAAAGAATAAATTATTGAAAAATGTTACATTGTAAAAACATGCCTCTCCTTTTTCTTATATCTACTTATTCCTACAAAAGAAACCTGGTATTCTTTTGAGTTCTCAGTGGAGAAATCTTCGATGGGAACTCTTATATACCAGAGCAATAATAATACAGTGGATAAATCCAGGAAAGAAGCTTTTATTACCAAAGGGTTTATATTTGAACAGTGAATTTAATTATGCCAATAATAATGCCATTTAAACTGTTAATTGCTAAAAAAATAACTATTCCAAACAGCTTTACAATGTGGCCAAGTTTATCAGTCTACTTAAAGGCAGGAGAAAACATCTCGTTTTCACTTTTAAAAGTTGTTTATTATTTAAATAAGTATGGTTTATTTAGATATCTTTCAACAAATAGTGAAAAAAGATTTTCAAGTAGAAAAATAGCTTTAAAAAAGGTGTCAGTTTTCACCATTACCACCGCCCCTCGGCAGAAGACATAATTTAGGTTCAAAGCCTGAAAAGAAGTTCCAATTTTATGGAAGATTTCCAAAGAGTGATATTATTCATTCCACACATTCAGAAGACTAGGAGATTATTAAAACAAAATATTTTTATAACTAGACATGTAATTGAACTGCTGGAACATAGTCTGAAAGTTGAATCTCCTTAATCTTAGTGTTTTTATTTTTTCCCTTTGTAATTATTTTTTGCTTGCCTAACGTTATCAGGCTCAGAGGTTGAGCTAGAAAAAAGTTGCTAAGGGGTTTTTTTGTTGTTCTTGTCTCTGTGCTGAGGCTAAGTCGAAAACTTTCTATGTATTAACGTAACTATTTCACCAGTACAGGTACTAACTCAGATTCCTTAATATGGTGAATTCTCCAATTTAATTCTGTGGCATCTGGTATTATTTTATGCCCTCAAAGAACTGACAACATTCCTATACAGCTATGTATTTATTGAGAGATTATCATGAGTCAATTCTGTCGTAACTGGTAAGTCTTCAGTAAACTTCAGCTACCTACAAAAAAAAAAAAAAAAAAAGAACTGACAACAAAACTCGGGTGGGAGCAAATATGACTCCTAGGATATGCCATATGTTGGGGATAAAAGATCCCCACCACCAAGTTATGTCATCTCTTTGAATACCTTAGACCAAGCAGAGATTTTAGGTTTGGTTTATATTTAATGTTTAATTGTGCAGCTCTTTATGCCAGCGTTTTGTGGACTGATTGTCATCTGTGTCCGCTGTTTCCTTAAAGCATGTATTTGATATAGTTGGGTAAGGACGTAAAGTGTAGGGTGAGTCACTTGGATGCCTCCGTAAGTGATAGGAATGCAGCCAGGAACTTTCTGCGCAGGAAGCACAGTCAAAGTATTAGTGTATAATAGTAGTGGATGTTCATAGAAATAATTGTATCATCAAGAAAATGTTAATTTCTTACTCTTTTTGAGGATGTGCTGCTTAAGGAGGCAGGGAAACATTTTAGAAGCAGTTGGATTTAGATTTTTTCCATTAAACACAGTTATCTGTCAAGTATCTGGAAAACTCTTATTTTACTAAACACCTCGGGAGGATTTGTGATGGCTAGGGTTTTATTATTTTACTGAGAAATAATTTAGACCAAGATCTGTCCATATTTAAATTAATTTAATATGGAGACTGGAATCTGAAGGAGCTGATTTTCTCAAATTGATATCCAATAACTATGGGCCAGAGTTAGAGAAATAAATGTGGAAAATAATATCAAGGAATAGAAGGGAACATGTGAGGAAAGATTAATATACTTGTGAAAATTAATTTTTAAAAATAGAATATATGAGGAAATAGTAGGAATTAATTGATAAAAAGAATACGTGCTATTCTGATAAATATGGAATGCAGTAGCAAATTAAAATAGGTAAAGTGTACTTGAGCAATTCAAAAATCTTTTACTTTCATGCTTCATAATTTGTTAAGGTCTTGAACAATGATTATTGAATAGTACCTTTAGATTGTAAAAGCAAAACCTCTTGGGAAAAAGCTATTGTTGTTAAGGGACGATAGGGTCTCATATAGCACCTTAAACATGCAGTGATGAATGAATGGAGCAGAAAAATTGTAGTGTGTTCAGTAAGCAGTTTTAGTTAGAGCAGCATGAATTAGAAGATAGTCAGGTGCTAATGCTGAAATCACTGCTGGTTATCACTTGGAAGTTTAAAATGGAAATATATATTATTTCTTGGATTGGAACCTCAAAATTTAGTTTATAATTCTGTTTGATTGTTTGGCACACATTTTTATCTCCATCTCTCTAGTAACTACCTGTGTGTAACTTGTAGTAATTGATTAATTCCTAAGTAGTGGAGAAAAACCTCTGGGTGGGGGCGAGTGGGATGTGGGGGTGGGAGTAGGTCAAATAGCAGAGATGACAGCTTTCCCTGTGCTGGATTGCACAAGGGGCTGGGTGGGGTGTGGGGAGAGCTATGAGGAATCTACTGTGACACTTCTGTAGCTCTGAGATGTATGGAGAATTCGTAGCCAGTAATCATATGTAACTTGCTGGCTCAGTGCCTGTGGTTTTTTTGGGGGGACAAATCATCAGATTTGTGCCAAAAAAAAAAAAAAAGGAAGGGGCCTAAAACAGGCTTTCTCCCCTCTGTGTTTACAGCGTTTATTCCTGGGAGGTGAGAACTATATACAACATTTTGCTTTTAACTTGCAAAGTTTCACTTAGACGTAATTTAAAATATTTAATGATAACAATTGATAGAGTTTATATATATATATATATGGATAGATGTGATCGTTGATTCCTGTCTGAGCTAAAATACATTTTTTTATTACCAGTTAAATTTTGAGTGACACTATTTTCTATGATGACGATAATATATTTTAAAATAAAATATGTGAAAGTAGTTTACCTTAACTCAGAATTAAATTGACGGGCTGGCCCCGTGGCTTAGTGGTTAAGTGCGCACGCTCCGCTACTGGCAGCCCAGGTTCGGATCCCGGGCGCGCACCGACGCACTGCTCCTCCGGCCATGCTGAGGCTGCGTCCCACGTACAGCAACTAGAAGGATGTGCAGCTATGACATACAACTATCTACTGGGGCTTTGGGGGAAAAATAAATAAATTTAAAAAAATTAAAAAAAAATCAAATTGGCTACTCTTAAATGAGCCATTTGGTCAAGTTATAAGTATGTATTATGAATTTGTTGAGTGTATGCATTCATCACGTATTCGTTGAACACTTACAAAGTGGCAGCCACTTTTTTAGGAGCTGGGATATATACTGGTAAACAAAACAGAACCCCTGCCTGCAGAAAGATTACATTCTAATGAGACATTTCAGTCAGAGACACCAGGACGCATAAAGACATTGAGACTTGAACAAACTTGTGTCTGGAGAATCGAGTGAGTGAGCAAGAGGGAGAGTGGAAGGCAATGAGATGAGAGCTAGACAGAGGCTAGATCTTTTAGGGCCTTATAGACGGGGAAGGAAATTTGGATTTCACTCTGAGTGTCATGGGAAGTCATTGTAGGGTTTTGAGCAGGGAAGTTATGTAATCTGAATTATATATAAAATGCATACATATTTAAGAAATCACTCTGTGATGTGGAGAAGCAGCAGTACAGAGGCAAAAATGGAAACAGGGACACTAGATGTTGCAGTAATCCAGGTGAGAAATGGTGGTGGCTTGGACCAGGGTGCAGGAAGTGGTGGTGAGACGAGGTCAGATGGAGAATGTTTTCTGGAGGTAGATCGGGTAGCACTCGCTGATGCAGGGTGCGAGAGAAATCATGGGTGGTTGATTCCTAGGATTTTGGCTTAAACATTAGCTTAGTGAATGGTAGATGACTAGTTTGCTGAGATGTATGATTATTGGTGCCAAATTAATTCTAAACCTTTACCTATTAAATGAGAAATGGTTAAATCAACATTATCCTAAGTATGTGAAATTAAAACAGAACCATCACAAGAGCTTTTTTTTCTAGGCGGAGTATGTCCAGCTTGTTACTGAACTTCGAATGACAAGAGCCATTCAGCCTCAGATCAATGCTTTCTTACAGGGCTTCCATATGTTCATTCCACCTTCCCTCATACAACTTTTTGATGAATATGAATTGGTAAGGAAAGACATCAGTTCTTCTGTTGTTACACAGTACACAAAACCCCAGTTGATGTAATTCAGAAATAATTTTGGAATACTATAATGAATGGAATAATATATAATAAGACGTTATGGTTTGATGTTCATGTTTAGAGGTTTGTTATAAGATTTGTGATTGAGCTTCTCTTAAACTTAATAACCAGATTAGCAATTCCTTAATGTGAAATGGAGTTGAGGTAGTGATAAGCAAAAATGGAATATATTTCCAAAGTATTCTACATGGGAGATGTTGAAGGCCAGTCTTCCCAAAAACAGTATTCACGTTGTTTCTGAATTTTTTATTTGGCCATATGGGGTAAAGGATGCTGATACTAACTTCTTGTACTTCCAAAAAGATTTAAGAGGGTTTTTCTTGTTGTATTTGTGTTGTCTTCTCCAGCTTCTTGTTTTATCACATATATAATTTTATAATTTTCCATTTTAAACCTATGTGGAGTCCACTGGTTGCTGGCCCCTAGTCTCTGTTGAATGTTTTATTTGGCTCATTTAATTTGGCTGCCTCTTATGATCTAATGAGATTTCTAATTCTATATGCTTTATGTCTGCCTTTCCCCCATTTCCTTTTTCTCTTTTATTTTTGGTAATAAATTATTGTCAAACTCTTTGAGTTGTCTGACTCCTTAATCAAACACAGTATTTTAAATAGAGTATAGCTGCTTTCTTATTTAAAAAATTATAATTTGGAATAGTAAATTTTAGATCAATGGAAAAGTATCCTATGGTTTTTATTCTTCTTTTAAAATTAGTTTTACCCTACACCTTTCATTTTAATGTATGAATAAGTAGACTGATGTGTACCTTTAATTTTACATAAATACCAGTATTTCCAACTTATCACTCATGGTATATCTTAGTATAGTAGTGGACAAAATTTGCTAATTAATTTTGAAGTCAATTGTGACTTAGTTTCGTTAAATAACAGTTTTGAGTTTTTTCGGGTGTGTTTTTAAGTTTAAGATTAATGGTTTTGTTTAGCATAGACTCATCTAGTTTTTGCATAACCATAAAAGTTATTATTTTTAGCATTTAAAAATGGATGCGTATTTATGAACTGCTGTTAGACATGCTAGAAACAGAAATCCTAGCACCTCAGGTGTCCCCCTCATGTCCTTTTCCAGTCACTGTCCCCCATCATGGGTAACTACTCTCCTGACTTCTAACATCATAGATTAGGTTGCCTGTTTTGTTTTTTTTTTTTTTTTTTAAATTTTTTGTTTATTGCAGTAACATTGGTTTATAACATTGTAAAAATTTCAGGTGTACATCATTGTACTTCTATTTCTGCATAGATTACATCATGTTCACCACCAAAATACTAATTACAACCCATCACCACACACATGTACCCAATTATCCCTTTCACCCTCCTCCCTCCCCCCTTCCCCTCTGGTAACCACCAATCCAATCTCTGTCCCTATGTGTTTGTTTATTGTTGTTATTATCTACTATTTAATGAAGGAAATCATACGGTATTTGACCTTCTCCCTCTGACTTATTTCACTTTGCATCATGCCCTCAATGTCCATCCATGTTGTCACAAATGGCTGGATTTCATCGTTTCTTATGGCTGAGTAGTATTCCATTGTGTATATATACCACAGCTTTTTTATCCATTCGTCCCTTGATGGGCACTTAGGTTGCTTCCAAGTCTTGGCTATCGTGAATAAGGCTGCAATGAACACAGGGGTGCATGTACCTTTGCAAATTGGTGTTTTCAAGTTCTTTGGATAAATACCCAACAGTGGAATAGCTGGATCATATGGTAGTTCTATCGTTGATTTTTTGAGGAATCTCCATACTGTTTTCCATAGTGGCTGCACCAGTTTGCACTCCCACCAGCAGTGTATGAGAGTTCCCTTCTCTCCACATAGGTTGCCTGTTTTTGAACTTAATATAAATGGAATAATCACCTAGAATATACCTGACTTCTTGAGCTCAACTTTTTGTTGTGAGAATCATGCATATTGTTGCATGCAGTTGTAATTTGTTTGTTTTCATTGCTGTGTAGTATTTCATTCTGTCAATATACTTTTTCTTGTGTTTTCTACTCTTGATGCACATTTGGTGGGTACTTTTCAGTTTCAGGCAGTTTGAAATAGTGCTGCTACAGACATTCTAGTACATGTCTTTAGGAGAACATATGTATGCATCCTGTAGGTTATATACCTTGGAGTGGAATTGCTGGGATATAGGGTGTGCATTTATTCCATTATAGTAGGTACTAGCAAATAGTTTTCCCAAGTGGTGTGTCAACTTGCACTCCTGCTAACAGATATGAGAGTTCTGGGTGTACCACATCCTCACCAGCATTTGATATTTTCTTTTACATTTTTATCCTTCTGGTGGATCAGTAGTGTTATTTCATTGTGATTTTAACTCCTGATGGCTAGTGAAGTGGAATGTGTTTTATATGTTTATTGGCCATTTGTATACTCTGTTTTTCAAGTGTTTGTTCAGGTAATTTTTTCATTTTCCTAGTGTGTTTTCTGGGTTTTGTTGCTGATTTGTAGGATTCTTTATATATTCTTTTTAGGAGTCTCGGTTAGATATGAATATCTTTTCCTACTTTGGTGTCTTAGTGAATAAAAGTTTTTAGTTTAACAGTTCAGTTCACTTGTTTTTTCTTTTCTTTTTTTTTAATGGGTGGAGCTTTTTGTGTTCTGTTTAAGAAACTGTTTCTTATTCCAAGGTCGTGAAGGTATTTTCCTATGTTTTCCTCTAAAAGCTGTATTCCTTTATCTTTCACATTTAGGTCTGCTACTGGTAAGTTTTTAATTGTGGTTCTCATGTTGAAGTTAGGTCAGGATTCCTAGTCTGTCTTAGAAGTTGAGCTGATTCAGATGGTGGATTATTTGGGAAGAGCAGTCTTGTAGGCATGGCCCTGATTTATGCAGTGATGATGATGATGATTATTAAGCACTTAGTATTTGACAGGCACTTTACATGTATTAACTTTTAAAATCTTCACAATGGACCTCTGAGGTATGTAGTATCATTCCCATTATACAAACGAGGAAAACTAGGCCAAAGGAAGTACAGAGCTTGCTCGTGTTCACCGAGTATGTGTTAGAGACAGACTGTGTGCCTGTGTTCTCTGGCCCAGAGCCCAGTCTCGCTTCATCAGTATTGCCACACTGCCTCTCAGGGGCATGAATTATAAATGGGACTTGGTTTTAGAACCTTTTGTGTGGTTTTGTATCTTTCGTAGGAAAGGGCTATGCTACACTGGGATAGAAAACTTTTTTCAAAAGTCAGCACAAACATCTAAGCTAGGTGTGCATCTGAACTAAAGGATACAGGTTAGATTCTAGAGTTTTAGTGAGAAGACAGTTCCGGTAGCATCATTGCCCTAACCCGAGATGTATTCATCCATTGTGGACAGAATGCAATTCCAAGTCAGGAGATGATTATCAGGTTCAAAAATGGTGACAACATTGTTGTCATTAATAATGTCTATACTGTTACAGTGGAGAGGGTCTTCCCCAATGTCTGAGGGACTGTCCTTCCATACTGTGCTGCTTATGAATTTATCCATGGTGGTACCAGAATATTAAAACGTTGAGCCATGTGAATACTAGGTAAGCTGATGGCTGTGAACACTTGCATGACTCAGTTTCTGAGCTTAGAATGGGTCATATATGTTACACCCAATTCCAGTAGGTCAATTCAGTTTTGTCATATTTTAAAAAAAAATGAATTATTGATTGGGACTTTTTGTTATATGTACTTTTTATTGTGGAATTCCCATTTCATCTATTTGTTTTCAGTCAGTTTAATAACTTTTTTTGCCCAGGGGTTAAATGGGATAATAAAGATCTTTCATCCTCTTCACAAGAAGTTATAACAAATAATATGATGCTTATGAAATGCTTCAAATTTCTTGAGAAAATAAAGTCTCAGTCATTTTTATTCATAATTATTAACAATGAGAGTGTACTTAATATTATTAAAAGCTTATCTTCAGCCTAGAAGGGAAGAGTATTAAACTTATGGGTTGTAAGAAATGTATAAAATTCATCCCGACCCCCTTTGGCAGATCTGTATCAGGGTCCTACCAGGGAACAGAGTTTCCCCAGTTGGTTCAAATAACGAAACTTGAACAAAGGGACTGTTACAGAGCTGTGGACAGTGTTAAGAATAAACAAGGTCTGGTGAGGCCTCCAGAGACAAGCAGCAGTGGAAAGCCTTCATCACCCCTGGACCTGAAGGGACAGGTAGAGGACTTCTTGTGGAGACATGGCTACTGCAGAGATGTGCTGAAGCAGGGAGAGAGCAGAAAATACCCTCACCTCCAGACTCCTGCCTATTTCTCAGTGATGGAACCCAACCTGAAGCCGACAGGCAAGAGAGCCAGTCTGCACGGATTGGCCTCCTGGGGCACAGAACAGGGCAAAGAAAGGTGGAGAATGAATTCGGGGTTGAAAAATGGACGTTAACCAGAACGTCTTCATCTAGTAAAAATCGTTTATAATACTATGGCAAGGAGGACTAACACGCATCCTAGACTAGAAGTTCTCAAACTTTTTGGTCTTAGGACCCCCTGGCAGCAAGAGTTTTTGTTTATGTAGGTTATATTAATTGATATTTACTGTTTTTGAAATTAAAACAGAAGTGTAAAATATTTTAATTCATATAACAATAACGCTCTATTACGTATTAACGTAACATTTTAAAGATGAAAACTTCATTTTCCAGAATAAAACAAAAATAGTGGGAAGAGGGGCATTATTTTTCATTTCTACAAGTTTCTTTAATGTCTGACAATAGAAAACAGCTGGGTTCTCATGTCTGCCTCTGTATATAACCTGTTGTGATAGGTTGTTTGGCTGAACTATATGGAGAAAATCCAGCCTCAGATAAGTTGGAGAATGGAGAACCTTGCAGACTCCTTCAGTAGATTTTAGAAACCCCCACGAGTTCTCAGACACCACCTTATATACATTAATCTTCTTAGAGCACGCTGTGTACTAGTCAGATGTGTATTATGAGTAGTTGCTGCAGGAGACATGATTTTGAACCACATAGTATCAGTGTCTCTAAAACCCTGCTGTTGTGGCTTGTTGGTGTTTAGTTAAGTGTAGGCTAGTCAGTGCCTAACCTGAGTGTGTAAACACATCCAACTATGAGATATGGGCTGATTCAGAGATGTGGACAAGCTCTTCTCATGTTCCCTTTTCTTTTGGAAAACATAATGGTAAATTGTGCCATTCTTAATTTCATTTTCAGTTATTTGGTTGATATTTTGTTTGTTTGATGTTCTTCCTGGAAAAACGGCGGCCACCAAAAGTCATTAGGAAAATTGCATTTCTTTTCTCACCTTGGGGAAAGTTGACTTTAAAGGATCTGAATTATTCCAAAATAGAGGCCTTAATCTGTTTTTTAAAAAAATAATAACTATTGTATTACCTCCTTTTTCCTTGTGATAGGGTTTCTTGATGATCTTTTTCTTTGCTTAACCCAGGCTTCATTCAGGTCTTTGTTGTCACTTTCATGTTGAAAGTCAGTCTCTTCATAGAATTTAACAAATTCATAAAATAAAAATACACGTAAACTAAAGATAATGTTCATAAAATTGTTGCGCATCTAAACCGTTGTTGCATATGTGTTTATATATAAACATGAACTATTGTCTCTTATGTTTTAATTAAATTGTATCAGTGTGGAGACAGCTCCACATCTCACACTATTTGAGCTTATCAGTATCAAGGGTTCTTTTCCATGTAGTGCTTGTTATTGATGACATGCAGAAACTGTCACAAAAATAAATCAGTTTTACCTGGGATTAGTTTCTAATTAAGGCAAATTTACTATTTAAATGTAATAGCTTTTTTTTTCCAGAAGAAGATTAATGAAATACTTTTCTTCTTCCCCAAAGGAGCTGCTGCTTTCGGGCATGCCAGAAATTGATGTGAGTGATTGGATGAAAAATACAGAATACACAAGTGGCTATGAAAGAGAAGATCCAGTTATTCAGGTAAAATCTCTCTAGAGCTTAGAATGGAGTTAAGTTTTGCCATTTAATTTTGTAAGCTTTTCAACGCTATTGGATGAAAACCTACATTAATTAACAAAGTAAAGTTTTTCCCTAAATTCTTCTCATGGGAATATTGCATATGAAAACTTGGTATGAAATCATTTTTGATAAATGAGTTTCATAGAATAAAATATGCTTTATGAATATTGCGTATTTCTCTGGTATTTGGAAGTCTACAGTTGCTCTGAAATATGAGCTAAGTTTTTTTTTGTTGTTGTTGTTAGTGGTTCTGGGAAGTTGTGGAAGACATTACTCCAGAGGAGAGAGTTCTTCTCTTGCAGTTTGTTACTGGCAGGTAAGAAGTTTTTTATGATAATGTGGAAAGAATTTAATGTATTCCATTTCTAATGGCTTAGAGATAAACACGCCAAAAGAGTTATTACTGAATTGTCAGTTTGTTCCTCCCTTTCCACTTTTTTAGGTATTAAACAGATTTATTTAGGCATTAAAGATAAAACACTTATAGTCTGCTCAGTAAATGTTTGTTTAATGTATAAAAAAGTAAACTGTTCCAGTCAGGACTATCAGCATATATATTGTATTTTATAATTTGTTAATCTTTTTGTTAATTTCTCTCCAGATCTTATCAAACTTTAAAGTCTCAAGATTCATGGCCTAAAAAATAATTTGTGATACCATACTTCTTTGAAAAGTCTACTTTTGGAACCAATTATATATTACAGATATTAGAAAACTAGATGATTTAAACCTCTTTTAATTTATATATCTGAAAGATGTAAAGAAAGGGTTTGATCTTCATTCTTGATAACTTAGACTTTCATCTTTCTTTCTATTTATGAAAATATAGTTCAGTTTTTCCGTTATAAGTGTCCATAGCTCTAGGAATGTTGGAACACTCAGAAAATCAGAAGAAATAAGGAAAACTACCCTCCACCAGCAATAACAAATATAACAATGTGATGCGTTTACTTTTCTTTATTTTTTCTGCCTTTTTTAAAAACATAATTGTGAGTATATATCTGTATGAAATATGTATATGTTAAAGTTCTCTATTTTCTTATTTTAAAAGTAGTACATAACCATTATAGAAAATTTGGAAAATAGAGACTACAAATAGAAGAAAATGAACATTCTATTAACTAATTCCACTATTCAGAAGTAACACTATTAACATTTTGCTTTATTTTTTTAGTCTTTTAACTATATAATTAGAAAAATAGTTGGAGTCACCCTATACATCTAATTTTAAAGAATAAATAAAGCAGGAATATTCACATTTTGTAGACTAAAGATATGAAAGAAAACCTTGTTTGTTGGGGGCCGCCCTAGTGGCGCAAGCGGTTAAGTGCTTGCGCTCCACTGCGGTGGCCTGGGGTTCGCTGGTTCGGATCCTGGGCGCGCACTGACGCACCGCTTGTTGAGCCATGCTGTGGCAGTGTCCCATATAAAGTGAGGAAGATGGGCATGGATGTTAGCTCAGGGCCAGTCTTCCTCAGAAAAAAAAAAAAGGGATGATTGGCATCAGATGTTACCTCAGGGCTGATCTTCCTCACACACACACAAAAAAGAAAACCTTGGTGGTGGTTTTGTTTTTTTCTGTTGTTTTTTTTTTCTGTGGCTTCGTAATGCCAAGAAATACTCAGAGATTTGAGTAATTTAATAAAGAGAATTAAACTAAAATTATATTTTCTATGTAGGAAGGTTAGACAATTCAAATTTAAAAAAATCACCTCTAAGCTCAATCTCTGAAGAGAACCACTGTTCACATTTTAGTTATTCTTCTGGAATTTTCCCCACATATATAAATTTTTACTTTTCAAAAACATTGTTTCTGTTTCATAACTTTTGGATTTAGCAATATATCAGTTAAAAATTGTTCCATTTATAGATCTAATTGTTTTAATGGATGCCTGTTCTTCAGCTTATGGACCTCCCTTAATTGATATTGTCCTTTATTGTTAAATTTTCCTCTTTGTGAGTAGTGCTGAGCAAATAAGGAATTCTTATGCTTATGTACTGGTGGGTCACTGATTATTTACATGGGATAAATTCTTAGAAGGGAAATTTTTGGATACAAAAGTATACAAAGTTTCGCAACCTCGATAAATATTGTTCATTTACCCTTCAGAAAGTTATCAGTTTTCACATCAGCAGGGAATGAAATGACCTATTCCTTTTATTCTATCAATAGGGGATGTAATCATTTTTGTTTTCATGTAATTTACTTATGTAATTTTTTTGTGTCAGGTGAATTGCCTGAATTGCCTTTATTTTTTGTGCATTATTCTACTGTCATTTAAAACAAATTCAGTTTTGGGGGCTGGCCGGGTGGCGTGGTGGTTAAGTTTGCATGCTCTGCTTTGGCGGCCCGGGGTTCACTGGTTTGGATCTGGGCGCAGACCTGCATACTGCTCCTCAAGCCATGCTGTGGTGGCATCCCACATGCTGAATAGAGGAAGACTGGCACAGATGTTAGCTCAGGGCTGATCTTCCTCAGCAAAAAGAGGAAGATTGGCAACAGATGTTAGCTCAGGGCCGATCTTCCTCACCAAAAAAAAAAAAAAATTAAATTTTAAATGTTCTTCATATTTTAGGGGCATTAACTCTGCAGATATATTTCCCCCCAGTTTATCATTTGCCTTTTAACTTTATTAAGTTGAATATACAAGTTTTGTGTAATTTAAATTATAAATTTAGCTTATAAAATTTATAAAATGGAAGTTTTAAATTATGTTGCAAGTTGATTATCAGTACTGTTCTTTATGGTTTTTATAAATCCTTCCCTACTCCCAAGATGTTATATATTTGTTTATCTACATTTTTTTCTGTAACTTTTTTATAATTTCTGTTTTTATGTTCCAGTTTTTAAGCCATCTGGACTTTATTTTGGTTTATGTTGTGAGGTAGGGCTCTTTTATTATGTTTCTAAATGGTTTATATCTAAACCATTTCATGAATTATATTTTCCCCTGTGATTTGGTTAGTCTGAGTTGTAAAATGCAGAAAACAATTATTTAAATTCTTTGGTACTAAAAGCGTCTTATTAAATTACTTGCTCTTGCAGAATAAAAAAATACTTGGATTAGTTGTACACAGTGCCCCTCTGGTGTCAGTAGTATAGTCATTGTTAGCAATGCTGGAAAGAACTACACTGTTGATTAAACTGGTCATGAAGTGTAGTGCGTGTGAATCCGTTTAAACTGAGGTGAAGGATGTGGGTGAAGAGTACACACCAAGGGGAAACAACACAGAGCCAAACTTCACCTTCAACTTGAAGCAGCCACCTTTCAACACTTAGTCTATACAGAATTCTTGTTTTGAATTCAAACTAAGTCATAAGTTCTTTAAAACCTTAACTTTTCCTTTTATATTAGACCTGTAGTCGTTAGTATAGGTATAGCATTTGCCATTCTAAACCTAAAGTGTATATTTTTTTCTTTTAACACTTTTTGGAAAATTCTGATTATCTGTTTGTTTATATTTAGATACTAAAATGTCTTTCTCCATGTCTGTAGTACAGTTTAGTGCAACTTTACTGGAAAGTCAAATGTGTTCCAATTGTAGAACCAAGAATCAGTACAAAAAGTAATTTTTATTGTGGTGACAATATTTTGTTGGTCTATAAGACTGTCTTAAATGTTTTACTCTTTTGTTTCATTACCCCTTAGGAATAATGAAAATCAGACTTGATGATTTCTTTGTATATAAAATAGAAGTATAACATTTTTATTAACTGTAATTTTGCATTGTATAATCCAAGTGTCATAATATTCAACCAAAGACCATTTCATTTATTTTTCTCATACATGCTTAAGCGTGATGACCCATGATCTTAGTATATAAGATCTACTGATTATTCAAGTGTGGGGCTAGTCATATTTGGTTATAGTTTAGAAGAAGACTAAGGTTTCAGGGATTGTTTGTGAGTATCAGCTTACAGAATAATTTAATTTAGATGTTAAAATTGGAATATCTGATTTTTTAAGCTTATGTTTCAAAATTTAGTTATATGAAAGACATTAGATTGATCATCCTGATATTGAAGTATTGTGCTGTAATTTGTGTAAGAATCAGTGTCAAGGCTTATTTTCTCATCTTGTCCTTATGAAGTAGTATCCTTATTTCAAAATTCTGCCTCTCTGGGAAATTGAGAACAACTTGGCCTTTTATCCCTTTCCATTTTTGGTTGCCTTTGTTAATTTTTTAGGCAAAGGTTAATATACATAGGTTAACTAATGCCGAATTTTATTTCAGTTTACAAACATATTCAGGTCTTCTTTAGATTGTCTCGTCCTAAATAGGAATTGTTCATGCATTAGTGTTTTATCAGCAAGATTCAGGTATACTTTTAATATTCACTTGGATTTCTAAGATGAGCTCAGGCATTTCATCAATAAAGCATTTAGGGACCGGCCTGGTGGCGCAAGCAGTTAAGTGCGCGCGCTCCGCTGCGGCGGCCCGAGGTTCACCGGTTTGGATCCCGGGCGCGCACCAATGCACTGTTTGGCAAGCCATGCTGTGGCGGCGTCCCATATAAAGTGGAGGAAGATGGGCACGGATGTTAGCCCAGGGCCAGTCTTCCTTAGTGAAAAAAAAGAAAAAGAGGAGGGTTGGCAGATGTTAGCACAGGGCTGATCTCCTCACAAAAAATAAATAAATAAATAAATAAAATAAAGCATTTAATAGCAACCAGACTGCTTCCCACCTAGAAGAGAAAACCTGTTTTTAGGGATTCATTTATATTGAATTGTTAAATTTTTTCCCCTGTGAATGTATATATATCATCTGTGATTTCAAAGAGAAAATCCTGGTGCATTTTTTAATGTTATTTTTAGTGTATGTGGTAAAAATACATAACTTAAAATTTAACATTTTAACCATTTTTAGGTGTACAGTTCTGTGACATAAAGTACATTCACTTTGTTGTGCAATTATCACCACCATTGATCTCCCAAACTGTTTTATCTTCCTCAGCTGAAACTGTAACCATTAAATGCTAACTCCCCATTCCCTCTCCCTGCAGCTCTTGGCAGCCACCATTCTACTTTCTGTCTATGAATTTGACTACTCTAGGTACTTCATATAAGTGGAGCTGTATGTTGTCTTTTTGTGACTGGCTTATTTCACTTAGTGTAATGTCCTCAAGGTTCATCCATATTCTAGCAGAATTGGGCAAATTCTGATGAATGTCAGAATTTCCTTCCCTTTTAAGGCTGAGTAATATTCCATTGTAAGTATATAGTACATTTTGCTTATCTTCATCCATGGATGTTCTTTTGAGTTGCTTCCACCTTTTGGCTATTGTGAGTAATGCTACTATGAACATGGATGTACAGATATCTCTTTTGAGTCTTTGTTTTCCATTCTGTTGGATATAGACTATAATTCTTTGTTTAATTTTTTGAGAAATCACCATGCTATTTTCTACAGTGGCTGCACCATTTTACATTTCCACCAGCAATGCATAGGGGTTCCAATTTCTGCACATCCTTTCCCATACTTAATAGTCATCCTAATGTATATGAAGTGGAATCTCATTGTGGTTTTGATTTGCATTTCCCTGATGACTAGTGATGTTGATTGAGCATCTTTTCATATTCTTTAGACCATTTGTGTATCTTCTTTGGAGAAATGTCTGTTCAAGTCCTTTACCTATTTTTTAATTGGGTTTTTGTTGTTGAGTTGTAGGAGTTCTGTATATTTTCTGGATATCAATTGCTTATCAGATTTATGATTTGAAAATATTTTCTCACATTCTGTGGGTTACCTTTTTACTCTGTTCATGGTGTCCTTTGGTGCACAAGTTTTTAATTTTGATGAAGTCCGGTTTATTTGTTTTCCTTTGTTGCCTGTGCTTTTGGTGTTACTTCCAAAAAATCGTTGCCGAATCCAGTGTCATGACGCTTTTCCTCTATATTTTCTAAGAATTTTATAGTTTTAGCTCTTATGTTTGTCTTTTATTCATTTTGAGTTAATTTGTATATATTTTGTTAGGTAAGAGTCCAACTTAATTTTTTTGTAGTGGATATCCAGTTTTCCCAATGTAATTTGTTGAAAAGACTGTCCTTTCCATTGAATGTTCCTAGCTCTCTCTTTTTTTTGTGAGGAAGATCAGCCCTGAGCTAACATCCATGCCAATCCTCCTGTTTTTGTGAGGAAGACTGGCCCTGGGCTAACATCTATGCCCATCTTCCTCCATTTTATATGGGATGCTGCCACAGCATGGCCTGACAAGCGGAGCCTCGATGGGCCGCCAGCAGCAGAGCGCGCGCACTTAACCACTACGCCACAAGGCCAGCCCTCCTAGCTCTTTGTTGAATATCATTTGGCCATATATGCGAGAGTTTATTTTGGGGTTGCCTGTTCTATTCCGTTGGTCTGTATGTCTGTCTTTATACCAGTGCCACACTGTTTTGATTACTATAGCTTTGTAGTTTAGGTTTTGAAATCAGGAACTGTGAGACCTCTGTCTTTGTTCTTCTTTTTTGGTATTCAGGGTTCAACCATTTTTTTTAACGAACTGAATTCTGGTTAATACTATGAATCATATGTTAGAAAACATTTTTAATACTAGTCAAATTTCTGCCTTTGAGTGTGCTTATAATACCTAGACTTTAAATGTTTGTCATTGTAATTTATCCAAAAAGCACTACAGCATCTCATTTTAAAAACAGCGAAGTTTTTTCCAGATCAGTTTGTTTAATCATGATACATACAAAGTCTAGTTTGAAGTAATAATTTTATTTCAAAGTAAACAATAGGAAGTTGTAATTACATCCTCTACAGCTGTGTACCCAAGATTAAATTTTCTAGTGGTGTTTATGCATTAAGTGTTAGCCTTCCTGTGATCTCATAATGTTAGGTGACATTTTAAAAAAATAGATCTGATATTCTGAATCTCTGGAAAGAGAAATGTAAAGAATTTTCTGGTTTTCCCAGAAAATTTACTTTTCTGTGAAAAGTAAAACAAAACAAAAACCCTGTGACCCTAGATATTTTTCACAAACAGGGAAATCATTTGGATTACGTGTAAGAGCTTCTGTTGCTTGAATTAATCAAGCAAACTTTCATTTATTCAGCAAATAGTTAATGACTGACTAGATGCCAGTCTTTTTGCTAATAACCCCAAGGATACAAATACAAATATGACATATTTGGGCCCTCACATCAGTCCCAGTTGAGCAGGGAGACACGTGAAAGAAAACAGTTGTACATGCAGTATGCAGTCTGCTTAAATGCAGCAGTAGAGGTCTGTGCTGTGGCCAGTTGAAAGCAGAGTACAGCTTATAGAAATGTGGGGGGTGTCTCCGTGGAAGCTTCCTAACTGGCCACAAACAACTTATAGTAATGAGTTGAAGTTTTGCAGATTCAAAAATATTATCTTGTCAGTGTCCTAGAGTTGAATATATTCTTTCCCTAGTGTAGAATTTGAAATATTTTTATCACAAAGATTTTCCTGTCATAATTACAACTTATTAAGATATGAACTCTTAGTTCCAGGGTCCCACATGGTGGATTTGCTAATATCATGGGTGGAAGTGGATTACAGAACTTTACAATTGCTGCTGTGCCATATACTCCAAATCTTCTACCGACTTCAAGCACATGGTATGTTAAATTGGTTTATTTAAATGTATTGCACATTGTTTTAATTAATTTTGAATGATCAAAGGTCTAACTGCTGTATTGCTGCATTGAGAGGAAAACCTCAACAGTGATCTCTATTCAGCGATTTGGAATCACTTATAAATAAGTAGCTATATAGGTCCTTTCCTCCGCCTTTTTTCGTAGGGACCATGTTTGGGGAAACTACCTATAATTGAATATAGGTCAGGTATCACTAAAGTTACACTGTCATAAGTATCACTGAGTTACATTATCACTTCAAACTAAATTGCTCTATTGTTTATTTATTTTAGGCTGAAAGGAACTTACTTTCTTCCACTACATTTGCATGCTAAAGGAAACTGCAATGCAGCAGGTTTTTTTTCTTTTTAAATACTACTTCAGGGTTTTCCAATTTGAATGCAAATTTGAGAGGGTGGTTTTATGTTAATTTTGAGTAGTGTTTTCTCTGCTAGACAAAACAATCAGAAATTTCATAGATGTCCGAATTAATGGTGGTATATTTTTCTTTTAAAGCATCAACATGCTCAAGTTACCTGAATACCCAAGTAAAGAAATACTCAAGGACAGGCTTCTTGTGGCACTGCATTGTGGCAGCTATGGTTACACAATGGCATAATGAAGTCTGGAAAACTCATCTGACTGCTGATGTGCAATTCAGAGTGGCAGAAGTAATTTAGGAAACTGTCAACAGAAAAGCAGCCCAAATGCAGCCCATAGGCAGGGCTGATGCTTAAAATTCATAAAGGATCAGGTTTTCTTTTTTCCTTCCTCTCTTTTCCCTTTTACGTTTTCTCAGTTTGTGATACAATTAGAAATATAAAATCACAGTAATCTTCATTTTAAAAAATGCTAATTTAAAGTGGTAGAAACTGTTCTTTTTTCATATTTTTTAAATCTTATCCAAGATTGTTTTAAGGCAAAATCTTATTTTACATTTCACCTTTGCTGTGTAACTGTCTTGTTAAAAGGATGTTTTCTCTTTATTTTCCTATATGTTAAATTATATTAGGACATCCAGCCTGGTATGTTCTGTTGCATGTAAAGTACTGTTTATATTTTGGAAAACTATTGTATAGAATGGATTTATTTAGATTGTGTATAAAGCCACAAATATGTATTTTCCCATATTGAATCTATATTGCAATGATGTTTTTTAGCTTTTTAATATTTTAATATATAATGTAAAGTTTAGACTGATGTGACTAACAGCTGATGAAATGACATCTAATTTATATATTAAAGCTTATACTATATTGTATGAATTATTTGCATCTTTCAGTGGTCAGTTTTCCATATATATTGTGGTCTCCAGGTTTTTCTTATGCCTTATTTAATTTATATTTTAGGTAAAATTAAAATGTGATATTTTACCATATTTCTTTTCATTACTTTTATCTGTGAGCTCTGATGACATTTGAAGAAGTAATCCGATGTGCAGATTACGTTTTAAATATGTAAATTTTTATTTCTTAAATTTGCTTATTGTGATTAAATGAGTTCAAGTGATATATGCCTAATACAGAGCACTGGGTTTTTAAATTTTAGGGGTGGTCTCATCAGTTTTCTTTTGAAAAGACACACTTGAGTAGTTTCAGCATACCTTTTAAAGGGAAGGTGGAACGGTCACACAGTCAGAAATGCTAACAGGAATTTGTCATGTTTAGCATCTCTTTTCTAGGAACTAAAAATAGACTATCCAATGGCATCATTATTGGTGGAATGACTCTTATGTGCAGATTTTCTCATATAAGCAGCAGTATATTTGTCACTGACAAATATAGACAGTGTATATGTCAATATAGACATATATATGTATATAGACATATTTATCGAAAGCTTTGCTAAGTTGTAAAGCTTCTTTAATACGTGTTTTTTGGTCCTCTCTTTATTAAAACAAGAAAACATCTCAACATATTACATTAAAAACTAGGAATTTTTTACAAATTACTATTAGCTCTGAAATTATGATTCAGATGCTTTATTTACAATAAATGAAGCTAATTTTACAATTTTTATTTTCAAAATTTAATTGTAGAAGAGGTCATTGCCTTCTGAGTTTTCAAATAGGTAACTGACTTTCATATTACATTGCTTCTAATTTTAATGTTTACACACATTTATTTCTGTTTATAATCATGCAATACATTGGCTTTGTCATATTGGTCCTTTTGCAAGTGTTTATGTAGAAGAGATAATAAGGCATTAAAAATCTCTTGGTATTTTATCCGTGAATTTGAATATTTTTTGATATAGTTCTAGCAGTTTCATGGTTTATTCTTTTATACTGCCTTTATCTTTTTAACTATAAGAATGTAGTTAATATAAAAAGATTTTATATGAATTAAAAATAACTATTTAAACTAGAGGCAGCAAGTCTTTATTCTGTTCCCACAATTTGTTTTGTAAGTAGATATGGACATGCTGAATGCAAGGTAGTATAGAAAAATGATTAGAGATTTTCTTCCCCTTTGGGTAGAAGAAGATTACACTAATAGGAAAAGGACTCAACTGTTAAAACATGTGGGAATTCCATATAAGGAAAAAAGCAGAGAAGCAGCATTCTAAAGGAATAAAAATATAAGGCAAGGGAGCGTGTTGTAGGAAGCTGATTAATGAAAACATCTGGGCAAGAGTATATTAAGTTATTCAAATAGTTTGAGGGAATAGTGACCATGTAGTTAATAAAATACATCTTCTAGTTCATCCAAAAGCAAAATGTAATGTAATCCAAGGAAATCCCAGCTTTAAGACAATGTGCTGAACGCAGCCTACGGCCGTGCCAGTCTTCGTTGGCTGTCGGGGAAATGAAAGCTTTAAAGCATAGGTCACAGGTTGGAGGCCCAGCAAATGACTCCCACTCACACACGTGCTGTGTTTGTCATGCCAGTTCTAAAATTTTAGTGAGCTATCAACATTAAAAAATATGAAGATTTGATGCAGAAGTCCAGATTTTGGACTTCTGAGAAATCAGACAATCTAACAACACTGGGTGTAGATTCCTAGGAGGCATTGTTAATAGGCTGGAATTGAGTAGAAGCCGCTTCTTTCAATGACTGAATGTGCTCTCCAGTTTGCCATTTTCTTACCCCAGCCTGCTTCACTAATTTATGTTACCTTCCCCGCCATTGACAGCACTGGAGTTTGCTTTAAAGAGTCTTTGTTGACCAGAAATGTTCCCCTGGAGTGTAAATTGGTACGAATTCTTTGGAAGGCACTTTGGCAATATCAGATTTTTTAAATGTACACGTACTCTTTGACTCAACAATTCAAGAATTTATCTTATGGTTATACTTGTTCATGTACATAAATATATTTGTACAAGAATGTTCACTGAAGGCTTGTTTGTTATAGGAAAAAACTGGAGATAATTTAAATGTCTACCAGTAAGGAGTTAGTAATAAATTGGGTTACATCCATATGAGAGAATATTAATTGGTATTTACAGACAATGAAATAGATTTGTACACACTGATACGTAAATGTTTCTAAGGTATGTTCAGCAAAATAAGGTGTATAGAAGAGCGGTTAGGGTGTAAATACAATATACGTGGGCTTGTATGCAAGAAAATTTTCTGGATCAGAAACTGTTGGTATATCTGAGAAAGCGTCGGTAAGGTGGGATGAAGACTTTTTCACATATAACCTTGTTTTCCTGTTTGTCTAAATCACGTGCCTGTGTTATTTTCTGTATGATATATACATTAAAGGAAACATCCAGTATCTTTAATCAAGGTAAGCAAGTATCAATAATAGGTTTTATTAGATCAAAATGCCATAGCAGTAGTGATAAGCAATATTTTCATAATCACAACTTATTTTATAATGTGATTAATTTAAAATGTCTCCTAATTAAACTCTTTTGCAACCAAACTTGCAGAAAGGAATGCTTCGTTGTCCACAAAGCTCTGTTTCCACATTCCTGATAAACAGTGCCTGATAATTAGCAGTTTATAATTCTCTAAAATTTCTACCAATTAGAGTTTTATTTGAATTTAACACTTTTTTCCTCAATTTTTTTTTTTTTTTTAAGTAACAAAAGTGTTACTTATTTGACGTGGGAAAATCTGGAAAGCATGGATTCATGTACTAGGAAAAAGCAATAACTTATAGTTCTACTACCCAACAAATTGTATTTGCTTCTTTTCTCAATGCATTTTTTCCATAGTTGAGTTCGTAGAGAACATAGCATTTAGTATCTTTTTTTATTTATTCAGCATTATATTTTAAACATTTCCCACATCATCACAACAGTTACTTGGGAACGTTTTTTTAAATGGTGGCATAATATTCTGTTGTATGGATGCATCATAATTTACTTGACCATGTTGCTAAATTTCTTAACCCTTAGATTTCTAATATTTTTGCTTTTATCAATAACAGGTGGTCTCTTTCAACGCTAGTTACAGTCTAGGAGTGGTAATGTTTTCTGGGTTATTTGTTGAAATGGCCATCAATTGCTCCATGGTTGTGGAATTACTGTTTGAGGCTCGAGAAAGGGCTGTTGGAACACAGAAGCTTTTGGTAGGTTGGACCAGATCAGATTGTTCCAGCAGCACGATTAGGGCTGTGTAGCCTACCTGAGTGTAAAAGGGTTAGAAAGAGGGTATAAGGGTGTGACAAAGATAAATTCATTTTAATAATTGCTTACTTCCAGTCTTCTTCCCGAGAATAGGGAAGGGAACTCATCTTCTATATGATACCAGCCCCTTTCTCAGGACCCAGAACTCGAGCATTTCATATTATGTTACACAGCTCAGCTACATCAAGGGTCACCTATACTCTTATGGGTTACACTAGAAACCTAGCCTCCATTTATAAAGTTTCCCCAAAATGGACTTAGATGATTTGGGACTACAACCCTTTTGTTAATTGGAGAATTTATGTATAACAGCTGTCTTTATGAGTGGGTTTTTAGCTAATATTAAAATTTTTGTTATTTTCACCACAATTTAGGCATATCAATGTATATCAGTAGTCATGATTTTTTTTTTTCGTGTGAAACATGCTCCTCTGTTCCTGTGCACTTCCACAGTTGTTAGGCAACGAATTTTACTTTTAAGGCTAACAATAGTAACAAATCCCAATTTTACAGTTTGGTTTAAGCTGTTTTAATGTGGACAGATTTCTGTTAGAATGTGCTTTTTGAAATTCTTAGGTCCTGGGTTATGGTTACCTGCCTATTGGTCTGGTGCAAATTGGCACAAATTTATTTAATTTGTAATCAGTCCTCATTTTTACTGATGAGAAAATTGGAGAACACAGAGAGGTGGTAACTTGCTTAAGGTTTCAGGGCTACTTAACCAAACTAGAATTTAGAACCTAGATTTTCTGATTGTTAGTCCACTAGGTTTTCTTTGACTCCGTGCTTTCTCTTTATGACATAGCTGCATTATAAAAAGACTCTTTTAGAAAAACACCTGCAGCCTATTAACAGTCATGTAAGACAAGCCTGGTGGGAAACTATAACTTAATAAGCTGATAGTTAAGAATGATTAATAGGACTATATTTCTTCTCTCCCATTGTGCCACAATAAGCTAGGGTGGGTATTGCACCATCTCAAGATGAAAAAGAACAGATGTATTGTCAGATCATAGATCATGGGTGGTCATTAACTTTTATTATCTTTATAAAAATGTTCAATTTCAAGCATACTTGGTGCTTGGAAATACGTTGTGCATCTAATGTTGCAAAACCATTAAAACCATAAACGGAGACTATAATGACTATTACTGTATACTCGTATGAGTGAATCGAATCTAGTCGAGTGAAATGGAGGGGAAGTAGTCCTAGGTGGGTGCTGAATATACAGTTAGTGGAGAAAACTTTCCAAATCAATTCGACAAATTCACCTTAACTGTATTCAACTCCGGTTTAGGGACTGTGACCCGGTCCCTACCCTCAAAGGAAATAAAATTCAGTTGGAAGGCATGCTTGAAACAGGTTTTAAAACTATGCAGTGCAGCATATGATTAAGTGTAAAAACCAGCTACGGAAATGTATTAAGTGTAGGGGAAGGAGGGTTTAATATAAACTGGGGTTCAAGGCAGCTTCAAATATTTGGCCTAACTGAATTATTAAATTGCCCCCTAGATTTGGAGACAAATAAATTGATCAGCCTGTTGATTGAACAAATAACTGAAAAGGTTAAAAATGACAAACTTAGAGTAAAATAAGGCCAATGTATGGCAGTCATTGAGTTGTTCTCAAATTTTTAATTAGTGAATTATGAGCTTGCTCAGTTCTAGGTTCTGGTCCTTCCTTGAGAATTCTGATCTCCTGGTGGTTTTCATGATTTGGAGACTATTGTGTCCATATACCAACCCTATTTGAAGAAGGCTCCATATTTTTCTTAGAAGAGTGGCAATATCTGATTCCCTTTTAAAAGCTTATTGAGGCGGTGGGAATGAGTGCTTACAGTGGTGTCTGTACAGTATTCTCTTATATAGTATTCCTCTTGTCCTAATGTCTAGGAATAGAGAAAAAGTAAAATTGATATTCTCACTCAAATTCCAAAATTCTATATGCAATGGCCTACTTGACATCTTCACTTGGATGTTTGTTAAGCATCTCAAACCTTAAAGATGTCCAGAGAGGACCTTGTTTCCCCATTGCCCCCCTGCCACCCGATTCCAATCTTTTCTGTCTCAGCAAAAGGGCACCACCATCTGCCTCGTTGCTCTGAGCTGAAAACTGAGAAGTCATCCTTTATTTTTCCCTTTCCACCATCTTCTACATCCAACCCATCACCAACTCTTGTTGAGTTTACCTGTCCAATGTCTTAGTCAACTTCAGTTGCCCTGTGCAAGACACCATCATCAGTTCCTTGGATACAGTGGTCTGACACAAAAGGAGGCAGTAGAGCATCATGGTTAGGAGTACAGACTTAGAGTTAGATTGCCTGGATTTGAATTCCAGCTTTTCCACTATCAGCTGTTGTCAGGAGATCAGCTGGGCTGGGAGAGCGAGAGCTGAGCTGTCGGATGTTGGAGTAGCCGATTAATGCAGTAAGTCGCAAATGAAAGAATTAAACCTTTAATCACTTACTGCAATGGTGTAAGAGTCTAATGCTGGAGAAGGTGTTGATTCCTCCTGTTCTGTTTTCCCCGTGGCACAGTGCACTGATCCTGGGTCAGGTGTGTCAGCATAGACATGGGGGTTGGCTCACTGTTGAGGGAGCCCTGAATTAAAGGCTGCAGCAATTTTTTTT